GAGATTTTTGTCGCTCTCCCCATTTCTCACCAAAGATTCCGTGTCCTTTTCTATTCCAATGCGCCTACACAAACACGTAACACTATTCAACTTCTCATTTATTTTTCCAATAAATAAGATTGCACAGAAAATTTAATTTATTTATATCTAAAAGGATAATGCATCTTAACAGCCGTATTTGATCAAATATTTCAAATATTCGGATTTTAGGTACAGAAAATTGAATGCCGAGAGCTAATTTTAATGTTCGACCCTGGATCCTTTTTATGGGATTAAAATGTAAGGGCATTAAAATAGAAGAAAACATCACAGAAAATCGGATATGTATCGACGTCCATATCTTATTTGATTTTAAAAATCATTAATCTATAAATGTATGGATATATATATATATATATATATATATATAATTCTTTTGGTAATTTTTTGAATTTTACAAAAAATTATGAACTGTACTTTGGAATAGCTATCATGGTTTTATAATATACTGAATTTTTTTTGAGTCTGTGTACGTTGTATCTACTTGTAAATATTCGGCACTATCCATTGTAGATTATAAGATTCGAGTGATCTACAATTTGAGGCGGACCAGGAAGAATAATGAGTCAATCATTAGTGATTCGAGTGATTATTCATTTGGATACTATTCACAATTTCACATAGACTAATTTGATCACGATATAGAGGATTGTTTTAATTTACGTGAAAAAATGGTTTGATATTGGACTGAATGCATTAACTATACTGAAGAAGGAAATTGCGTATCTTGCGCAGCTGATCGGACAAAATATTGTAGGTTGTCGTATGAAATGAAAATTGTAAAGTCTGTGATCGTCAACATTTTCTATATTTCCATATTACTTTTTTGCACAAGTATATATATTTCTGTTTTTAACAAAAAAATAATATATATTTCTGTTATTGGATTATGAAATTTTCTATTATGTAGGTGTTAGCATTATGTTAACACTACCACAAAACATTTTCACTGATTCACAATTGAGTATCTAAAAAATAACAATAAAATATAAAATTTGGTGAGTTTCTCAAATAATGGAGAAACTCATACAAAAGGTTATATATGCACAAGTTTTGTTTTTTTTGTAACTCAAGTGAGAGAGTCCACCAATAATAATATTCTAATTCATATAGTTATCATGGTTTTCCAATAAACTATAAAACTAAAAAAACATCTATTACGCCCATCCATGTGCAAATCAATTAGAAGATACATATCACTTTAGAACTCCTTTTTTTAACCTAGGAAATTTTAAACAAAACTCAAATTAATCTTCGAGATCTATTGAAATCTATGTTTTTACCATTAAATACATTTACGGATAACCAAACTGCAAAGTGTAGATATTTTTTAAAAACACATACACTAGATTCCTAACCTATACCACACATGAAAACTTCAAACCTCGCGAAAGCCCCAATAACTTGGTTAAAAAACTCCGTTTTATAAAAGTTTTTCTTAAAAGAAATAAGAATTACATATAAAATCTGTAAAATCCTTAGGTCGTATCATATGCGACCCAACTGAACCCCATATACTTTCACGTGGCCCATGACCTCATTCCAAAGCCTAATCAAACTACCCCCCATATGCCGCACGAAAGTTTGACGACTACTTCATTTAAAATGTTTGTATGAAATATACATCTTAATTATTCATTCACAAGAAAAATCTGACCTACTGATCACTTTGCACGGAGGAAAGGTCAGGAGTAGGGATGGGCACAGATATTTAGTACATTATATATATAGTATTTGTAATGTATCTATGTCTTAAAACAAGTACATGATGTTAAGACAAGTACATAATTTAGATACGTTTAAGTACAAGTATGTATTAAAAAACAATCAATGTTCAGCTTACTTTGTCCATCGATACTGGTTTTATTTGTAGTATATCTTATGTATCTTTCTTTTTTCTATCAATCTATCAATTTTAGAAAAATAAACTTAAAAACTGATTACAAGTTTACCTACATTAAATTTTAAAACCTGAAAAATAATTTGTTAAAGATATGCAAATTAGTTACATGTAATTAGCAAGTAGCAAGTAGCAAGTATTATAACGAGGTAAATAACCCGCAAATAGGCCATTTTTAGCATATAGTTGAAATTTGGGATCTATACTTACAAGTCAAGTAAACCTAAAATCAGGAATAATTTTTTTGAGTCCAACCCTAGTCGGGAGGTCATAAGACCTAGTTTTCCATACATTGAAGTATACTTTACACTTTCTTGAAAGTATATATGTCGCTATATAAAGGCCTAGTTTTCCATACATTGAAGTATATATATATATATATATAGGTCATAAGACCTAGTTTTCCATACGATCGATGTCCATCTCAAATTCGTTATGTTTGTTGTTATTAAAGTATCAATTTCGTTATTATAAAACAATATATAGGTTTCCAGTATTTGTTGCGATTATGTAGTGAGCATTTTTGAATAAACCACAAATTTTAACCATATATAAATAAAACTCGTCTGTTAACTGTAAATGTAAAAGGTTAACGCACGGACATTTACGTTTTCAGTTTGGAGAAAAGCAAAATAAAAATGTTTTATATCTCATAATATTTTTGTTTCCAAATAAACACAAACGTAAATTAACGTATGAATTTCATTTGAAACAAAAGGTTTTAATGGGAGCTTTCAATCGAGAAACAACTTTAACAAAAAAAAAGGAATTTCATTTGAAACAATCGAGAACATCGTCGGTCTCCCTTAATTATGAGTAATTGTATTACATGTTTATTTATCAAATCTGAATTACTATATAATCTTTGTTTTGCATTTTAAAAAACAAATGATATTAGAACGGTGACAAGATGCGGTGGTTAACATTTTTGGAATTCATATCTCAAGTGCATGTTATGAGATTAGTTTAGATTCTGATCGAAAATATGAACATCAATGTTTAGATTCGATTTCAAAATTTCAAACAACTATTCATGAGACCTGCAGAAGCTTAAGTCATCGGACACACTGTCCCATTTTATAATTTCACGTGATTTTCATGCTAACTACCTACAATATATTTACGTCGGTTCAATATATAATATCATTACAGCCACATGTAGGCCTACGTTACGTGTACATTCGCATGCAACTGGATATGCATGTTCGTTTTTATTATGTGCTTTGTCTTTTATATTTTGTGTTGGACGTTTTAGATTCAAAAGAAAAGAAGACTAGCTAGATTTTTTTTTGGGACAAAAAGAAGACTAGATTTGTGTCGGATTTTTGGGAGGCATCTTATATTTTCCTTTAAATGATATTTAATACTATGGAATATGCTTTATTTGACATGTAAAAGATCTCTCTCGAAACAGTATCTTTTGTAGATTACAGAGTGGGTGTCCAGGGATTATATTATAAAAAAAAAATTATGAGAATTTCTCGAATTATATGACTCGAAGCCCTTAAAAGCCCATTAAATAACTCAAATCATTTGGGAGAAATTGGGCCTAGATAAATGAGCCCATTGACTATATGATATTGCTTCCAAACTAAACAAAAAGATGCAGAATCATTTATCTCAATAGATTAGATGATAGATTACATTACATAAGTATAAAACCATATACGATGACAAAAAGGTACATTTGCATAGAGGTTAACAACGCTTCAAAATGCAAGTGCTTAGAAGAAAATCTCTGAGACTCTGATCCATTATATTTCCATTTAAGTGAATCTGAGAAGCAAGTCCTGGAATCATTTTACAAGTACAGGGTAGGGTAATCATGAAACCTCTCAAGCAAGATAATATTGAAGAAGGTAACAAAAAAAACATATCATAAAACTCCATTTTATATCATGTAATAGCTGATTCAGCCTCTATAATTAATCACAGGGTTATGATGCAGCCAAATATGGAGCCTGAAAATACTCATCACACAACTCTCATGTTCCATTTTACGTACCCAAACACATCAAAACTCATATAAAACCTGACTATATAGCAAAGAAACAAAAGTCTGAGTAGATAAAACAAAGTGATTTATCTTATTATGGCGTTAAGAGAGATGAGAATAGATGAGAGTGATGACATAGAGAGCTACAGTGATCAATCTCTTTGTCTAGATAAAGCCAAGGAGCTTCTTGCTCTCATCAAGCTACCCACGGGATTGTTGCCATTGAAGGATATGACAGAAGTTGGGTACAACAAAACGAAAGGGTTTGTGTGGATGAGGATGAGAAGCAAGATTGAGCATACATTCCGTGCAATAGGTCGCAAAGTGTTATATGACACGGAGATAACTGCGTTTGTTGAGGACCGTCGTATGAGGAGACTTACCGGAGTCAAAAGCAAGGAGCTCATGATCTGGGTTCCTGTGAATGATATCTTTATCAAAGAGAAAGATCCTGAGAAGATCACCTTTGCTAATACCACCGGCCTGTCACGAACATTTAAAGTTTCAGCATTTCAATGTGAGGGTTGATAAATCAGAAGAAAAGAGGAGTAACCAGACTTCCTTGATGTAAGCAACCAATAAAGAACAGAAGTTGTTCCATACTCAATAAGAGACAGTTTAATTAAATATCATAAGGACATGCCCTTTCTTTCAATGAATTGCTTATGGATCATCACAGTAAATAAATAAGTTTTGAAATTCATGCCTTGAAGTATAACAGTGACTCAGTGAGTGTCCAATCAACATATGAGAATCAATGCATTGGTTAAATATGGCGGAAGATGTATGTTATGTTCTCTATCTATAAAGACAAATACTACATAACTTCATATAAATAAGGAAAGATACGACTAAACCTAAACAATCAGATGGATCGAACAAAGAACAGAAATGATTGACTAAAGATCTGAACTTAAAACTAATTGAGATGCAGAGATTAAATATAAAGAAAGAATTGTTAGCTTCAGTGTTCAAACAGCTTGCACCATCCTAGAACTCTAGCTAAAGAAAAAAACTTGGAAATCTGCTGAAGGAAATCTATCAACTTAGCCAAAAGAAGACATAATGCATATGCACCTTTTCTTAAGTTTTTTACATAACATACGTCAGTAAATACTCACATCTGGGAAAATATCAATGAAATGAGACAATGTATAGAGTTAGATTACCAAGTTCAATGTTTGCTGGGTAGGGAAGCCAGAACCCAAAATCGGGGTCTCTTGCGAAGGGAACCAAAAGAATCGTGAAGAAACTGCCAGCTGAAGCTCTCAGTATGTCTCTGTTCTGGTGTATCAAGATCCTTCTACCAAACCACTAAATCTTTAAAAGAGGTAATGGTAAATAATCATGGTGGTAATTCTAATTTCTCCAACCCATCACCCGCTTCACCATTGCTGCCATACTTTGACCTCCAAGCACCAAGAGTCTTAAAATCCCACACAACCTCTGAGATCTCATCCTGAGGCAAGGTTAGACCCTTCTGTTTTATTGACCTATGCAACTCACAGAAGAATTTAGGGTCTTGTAGCTTGATGTACTCCTGCAAAACTTGCTCATGATTTGGGATCCAATTCCTGGGGAATGGAGTATAATCACAGGATGGAATCAAAGACATGCGAGAAAATTGAACTCCTTCTATAGCATCGACAAGTCCCATTCTCAGAAGATCAGAGTATTCAGGTGCAGAATTATTGCTGCTCTCGCTTAATGGATGGCTAAGATCCCGTGAGGCTATGCTGTACACTTTGGCACGAGATTTAAGTCTATATCTAGCAGCGTACAATTTAGCCAAGGAGCTTCTAATTACATAAGCACAGAATCCAACAGCCTTCTTGCGATTGTCTGCATATTTGTACCAATCAGCCATTGTTTCAAGAAACTTATTCATCTGAGAGTTACTATGAGACTGGCTTGAATAAAGCATTGGGTTACAAGGTAAAGGCTCGGGATCTTTGTCACCTTTAACAAAAGCTAGCCGCCTAAATTGGCGGATACATTGTTCTAAACTAGCAGACACAGACAGCAAAGTTCCCACACCCTTTTTGCTCACAATGCTGCCTCCGCTTCCTGTATAACGGAGAGTAGGGTAAATAACTCTTCGGCAAATTATGTGGTCAAGAAACTGAATACCCCTGCTTATATGTTCAATCTCTAACTTTGAATTATCCAATCTCAAACCAAAAACTCTATCGCAAAAATCAATTATTTCCTTCCGCATCTTTACTGCATCCTCTCTAGGCCCTCTAATGCCAATCAGAAAATGGCCTCCATACCTAATGTAATCCATTTTCCTAGTTTTCTCCTTCCCACTAGATGGAACAAACTCCGGCCATGCTGGGTTATGGCAACCATCTTCAATAGACTCCTTCCATATTGAATCATCTTTACAAGGTCTAAAATACTCAACTATCTTCTCTTCCATAAAACGATCCAACTCATTAAGACATACATTAGCAAGCATAGGACTCAATATGCCACAATAGCCATAAGAAGGCACCTTTGCAGCTTCCTTAGGAGCAAAACTATAGAAAGTCCTCAACCAATAAGGATCCGGTTTCGGCTCATCATCACTCAAAATCTTCTTTTTCGTCTTGTTTCTCTTTTCACGTTCGATCCTCCTTTTCTCCCCCAATCCATTGCCATTGCCATTTTTCTCAACAACCCTTTTTAACACTCTCTTATCAGACAATCTCAAAGAAGATTCGATCAAACCGAGAACTTTCCTATCCTTGACAACCTTTTGAAGACAATTCATCACTACATCAACATCCACATGATCCAACATTTCACTAACATCACCTTTCATAAACCACAAGTACCCAGCAAAATTACTTCTGATAGTTCTAATCACTGTATGTGGATTCCTACCTGGTCTAAACCCATGACACTTACTCGAAAACCTAGCTTCAAAGAAAGGTTCAAGAATCATCAATAGAACCTCATGAACCACCCGATCCTGAAAAATTGGTTCTTCCGACTCAATTATCCTCCTTACATTCCCTTTCGACATACCCTCTCCACTATTCGCCGACAATTTATCCTTCGGGCTCCTCAGGTACTGGTTCATCTTATCGTTCCACCGGAATTTGCCACCGGAACGTGTAACGGCGTTTTGGAGTGAGAGAAGCGAACGGAGGGCATTGGCATGAATAGCATTGCGCGGTGGGAAAGTTCCGGTGACATGAGCACAAGTTCGTTGATAAGCTAAGACCCATAAATCGAATTTGGAGAGAAAACCAGTGAGGTTGGAAAAAGTAGCAGAAGGAGGAGAAGAGAATGATTTGACCCAGAGGGAGAGACAGATATCGACGGGATCTTGCTTGAGTAGTGAATACGGGTCTTGGGTTAAAGAAGCTTCTCGTGATTCGGGTTTGCGATGATTTGGGAAGATTGAAAGGGAAGAGATTGGTTTGTGGAAGGAGTTGCAGTGAAAGTGTTCGACGATATTCCTCACCGAAGTGAAAGGATATGTCAATCTTCTCATTCTCAGATTCTCTACACTAGATGAGTAAAAAAGGCAGATGCGTGAATAAGCTTTGTATAAAATTAGTTTCTAATTTAGCCCCATTATTTTGCTATTATTAGAAATCGAGGCTTAGGTTTTGGAAAATGAATTAGTGCACCTACATAAGCCTAAATTATGCAAGTTTTTGTAACAATTTTTTATGTTTATGAAAGTAAAAGATTAATTAGTAAATGGATGAAAACAAAATCATGTAGTAATTCGTAATTAGATAATGTTTGACGGGAGTAAAAAAAAACAAGAAGAGGAAAGAAATCGGAAGCTTGTGTTTGGTCGGTCAATGCTTCTAAAGAAGCTGCCGTAAGATTTCAGAGAAGACTTCTCTGCGTTGTCTGCGAAACACTTTGTTTTCCTTCTTCTTTTATCTGTGAACAAAATCTCATCTGATCCCGACGAAATCTCATCTTATTCTCCGGTCATTATTAGATCGGCGGCAGACAGAACCCGAACCCAAAAGCCGATCTTTAATTAGACGGAGGATCTGAGCATGTCGAAATCTCTACCATATTCAGTTAAAGATATTCATTACGACAATGCCAAGTTCAGACATCGATCTCCTTTGAAGGTTAGATCTTGATCTGTGATATGGGTTATATGTCCAAGTTTTCTCCTTTATTAAACTTTTAGCTGGATTTGATATCACTACATCTTGTATCTGGTTCAGCTTTTGGCTGTAGATTAATTGCTTTGTGTCCAAATTGACCTTGGATTTACGAAATTACGTTTTTGTGAAAGTATAGAAGAAGAATTTGGCGTAGCTCCTGAAATTTGATTTAGATTTTCTCTTTGTTGCTCTTCTTTTGACACTTTTTTGTAATGTCTTGTGTTCTAGGTTTTTTCTCAAAGCTTGCTTACTCTTAGTACAAAACGCAACTACGCCAGCTGTAGCACAGGGAAGTTCCTAATATTAATACTGTTCTTTGGAGTAGCATGTCTAATGCTGATGAGTAAGAGTCCGAATGAATCTGGTCTTAATGAAAAAGGAAAGGTTACTTTTGTTGGGGGCCTTAGGCTAGGAGGACTCTTGAGAAAGCCACCTAGGCTTCCACCTCGTTTATCACCTGACGAAGGACAAGTAAGAGGTAGTTCCACGAATGGCTCTACGGTTTCAAATTACGACCCAAAATGGGCAGCCAGGCAGCAAAGTGTGAAGGAGGCTTTTGACCATGCATGGTCTGGCTATAGAAAGTACGCCATGGGTTATGACGAGCTTATGCCTATTAGCCAGAAAGGTGTGGATGGCTTAGGAGGATTGGGTGCCACTGTTGTGGATGCTCTTGATACAGCCATGATAATGGGTCTTGATAATATCGTCTCTGAAGCAGGATCTTGGGTTGAGACTCATCTCTTGGAGAGAATCAGTCAAAAGGGTCAAGTTAATTTGTTTGAAACTACAATACGTGTCTTGGGTGGGCTTCTAAGTGCATACCATCTGAGTGGAGGAGAGCAGGGTACGATGAACATGACCCTTGTTGGACCGAAACCAGTCATCTATCTAAATATTGCTAAGGATTTGGCTGACCGTCTACTTTCAGCTTTTACCTCCAGCCCTACTCCAGTTCCCTTTTGTGATGTGATATTGCATGAATCGACCGCTCATCCAGCTCCAGGAGGAGCGAGCAGTACAGCAGAAGTTGCCTCTGTACAGCTTGAATTTAACTACCTCAGTGCTATTTCTGGTGATCCAAAGTATAGTACAGAAGCCATGAAGGTCTTAGCTCATATAAAAACTCTTCCAAAGACAGAAGGTCTTGTTCCAATCTATATCAGGTAATTAGTGTTTGCTCTTTCAACTATAACTACCATGCTAGTAATAACTTTTCCCTTGCTTTCCCGGGCTTTTTTGATCTGACGTGTTGTTTCTACCTGGTGCAGCCCTCAAACAGGTGACTTTGTTGGTGAGAATATCAGGTTGGGATCTCGTGGTGATAGCTACTATGAGTATTTGATTAAGGTGTGGCTTCAGCAAGGAGCCAAGTTGAACAGTAATTTCACATATTTGCATGATATGTACATTGAGGCAATGAAAGGAGTCAGGCATTTGCTTGTGCGCAATTCAATTCCAAAAGGTCTAGTCTTTGTAGGGGAGTTACCTTACGGGTCTAAGGGAGAATTCAGTCCAAAAATGGATCATCTGGTAAAGTGTCACTAGCTACTTGGCACTGAAAATAGCAATCGATCCCATTTCGTAGTATTACCTATTATGCTATTGTCATTCGCTTAGAGATTTCACGACGTTTGTTGTTCTTGACTTTTGATTCATTCAATTGCTTTTTCTCGCTAGGTATGCTTTTTGCCTGGTACTCTTGCTCTCGGTGCTACCAAGGGCCTCACAAAGGAACAAGCCCTGAAGGAAAATCTTTTATCCTTTGAAGACCTAGAAAATCTGAAACTTGCAGAAGATTTAGCGAAAACATGCTTTGAGATGTATGAAGTAACTGCCACTGGCCTTGCTCCAGAAATTGCTTACTTTCACACAAAGGTAAGTTTTGCAAAACAATAATCTTTCTTCTTCACGTCATCCTTGCTCTTCTTGTTTTTTTGTTAAGTCTTGGATTTTAATAAAGCAGGATTACTCTGAGGATGGTCTTGATGGTGGGAATAAGAGTTCAATGTATGCAAACGACATAATCATAAAGCCCGCTGATCGACATAATCTACTGCGCCCTGAAACAGTTGAATCACTCTTTGTCCTCTATCGTATCACAAAAGATACAAAGTATGAAAACTATTTATCCGATTTTTCCTCACTAATCTGTATTCTTGGGGATTATTCTACTCTTAAAAGCTTACACATTTCTAAAATTACAGATACCGAGATCAAGGTTGGCAAATCTTTGAAGCATTTGAAAAGTACACAAAGGTGAAATCAGGTGGATACACGTCATTGGATGATGTAACAGAAGTGCCTCCTCATAGAAGAGATAAGATGGAGACATTTTTCCTTGGTGAAACATTGAAGTACTTATACTTGCTCTTTGGAGATGACTCAGTAATACCATTGGATAAGTTTGTTTTCAACACTGAAGCTCATCCATTGCCAATAAGAAACACCTGAAGGATTAGTTTTGAAGACTGTTCCAGACATCAATGCACACACACACACATACACAAACTGAAGAGAGGGTATGGAGAAATAGATGTATAGCACAGTGCCAATTGGAGAAGATGTTATTAGTTCGTTGAGGAAAAAAAAGGTTTAAACTTTCAATGTAAGATAAGCTTTAGCATCCAAATTATAATTTAACTCAAAAAAGTTTTTGTTTGTAATAGTAGGTTTCTTGAGACTAATATTCTTCCTTTTCTTTGAGCTCTCACTTGGCAAATTGTAATCAGATACCATGGATATGAATTATGGTTTTAGTTTTTTTAATACATTACATTTACAATGCAAAATAAGATAATTTGGTCCTTCTAGCTCTTTCTGATCCGACTCATAAACCTTGAACTTTGAGATCATTTGGTCCTCTTTGCTCTTTGTAATCCGCAAGGTGTTGCATAGAACACAATAATCGATTAAATATGTATAAAGACCAAATTAGATGCATACACATACACAGAATATATTTTTGTAAATCTCCAAATTCATAACTTGAGAAATGGCGACAAGATCATGTATAAGTTACACACTCAAGTTTAGTAGTCAACAAAAAAGATTAGAGACACAAAGAGACATCAATAACCACAAAACTGAAACCACAAGAACCCTCAGTAACTGAATATGACACCATTGAGATAAGGCCGAGCACAAGGGAAAGGGGTTCAACAAAAGTGGTTGCAAGCTCAATCAAGCCTTTGCTTTTCCTGCCTGGATAGATTGTAGCCTTTGTTGTAACTTCATTATCTGCAAAAAATTTAGATTCCATGAATTGAAACCATAGGATCATATTATCACCAGTATAAGCCAAGAAAGTTAAGAAACAAGTTTCATTTGTGTCCATGGATACTTATTCTCTCAAAACAGCAAATTCTCAGATGGCGCCAAGGCCAGTAGGTCACTCGACGAAACGGATGAGATAACAAAGTTCAAGTATTTACATTCAGTACAGGCTTAAACTGGCAAATATAACCCATCTACAAAAGTATCTTTTTAGAGCTTAGTAAAGTGAGCATGAGCATCAATGTTTGGACTATTAATAGTGTAGCAGTGCTAGTATAACTGCTTCAATGCACTCAAAGAAGTATTATAATGCATGAGAGGTAGATGTCTCACCGTTTCTCTCTTGTTGTTTTGTTTTTCTTCCATATCTTGAAGAATTGCATCAAGCCGTTTCCTGCAAAGGATACAACAATATGATTGAGGTCACACACTTGATCAACATCTCACATAGTTGTTATCTAGCTAAAAATGAAAACATATTTTTTTACACAAGTGCTACACTGCATATCCACATTCTAACAGCACGAGAAAGCATGATTTTTCAATACCCGTTTTAGCTACTAATATCATCTACTACACTGCATATCCACATTCTTTATAATCAACTACTAAACCAATGTTCAAAACTGGGTTTCTCAATGAACTGCATTTGCTTCAATCACAGTAAAAGAAAGAAACTCACAATTCAGCAGAGATGTACTCAATCCGTTTACGAACATTTGCATTTGCTTCAGCCAAATCCTGCTTCACTAGCACCGGACCAATCAATTTGTAAACGTTTGCATCTTCTTCCAGCAAATCCAACTCCTGTAGATACAAGACAGACACATAAACAGATTAAAAAGCCAAGCAAAAATCGAAAAAAAAAATCCTCTTATCAATTCCAGAAATCAGAAATTTCCCACCATTGAAGTAGCCACAAAACCCAGATTAAACAGTGAGACAAAGACATATACCTTAAGCACGAGCTCATTCTCACCGAGTTGGATCGTATACTTCTTCCTCAGCTGGTGATTCTTCCCGATATCTGCAAAACGAAACTAAACTTAGAAACCAAAAATGATTTCTCGTCTCTCTAATCTCATCAGAGTAAAGTAGGGTTTCCCGCCTCCAAAAACAAAAAAAATTCACATCGAGAAAGGTGAAAAGAATCAACGGAACTTGCCTTTCTGAATTTTGCCGAGATCATTGGCCTTGTTTTCTAGGTCTTTCTGCAAATCTCGAACAGCCGTCGATGAACTCATCTTCGTCGCCGTCGTCTTCTTCTTATTTCTCACTCCGGTGGTTTATTGGAAAACTCACAGATCCACCAAGGAGGAGCAACAAAACTCCGTTAAAGCCCCCGTGTTTTAGTAAGGCCAAAGCCCGTAATATTAACTTGGACTTTTTAACGGCCCAATATGTTTTTTTTTGTTCTATTATCAAAACCAATGAAAGAAGCCTAGTTTTACGGAAAAACGGTCTATTTCCCCACGAGAAGTATAACATCATAACAGATAGAGCCCAATCTATTACCACGTGCTAGATGTCCCCGAAAAAATACTTCTCAACTTATATCCCCATAAATTCATAGTTCGAATCCTATTTCTCCACAAATATGGGTTTAATCGGTTCACAAATTAAATCCGATAGAAAACCACATAAACCAATATAACCAAATTAAAATTCAGATCCAATGTAAAACCCTACCCGATTTCTTCTTCTTCTTCACCCAACCCATGAAACTCATTAAGAACATGCCACCTAGACCAAGAAACAAAAATTATGAATTTGGATCATTTAAATTCAAGTAAAATCTGATACAATTTTCAATTGAATGCTAACAACTGCTCGTATACATTTTGCGGAACACTTTCTGAACAAGAAGCAAGAAAATGGTGAATTGGATATGAGAAAACGTCAAAATCAAAGATAGCCTTGATGGAGATTTCGAACTATGTCTACACTCATCACCCAAGCAAGCTCCAGTCTGATTCCAGCTCACTATCACATTCTTCTTCTCGTCAAATCTCACCACGAATTTCGATCCATGGCCACAAATCGCTCATCCGCCAGTAATTTCACCGAGAAGAACTGCGTTATGCGTCACATAAACAACGCCAGATCAGAGATGGAGCTTAGCGGTGAAATCGTTGCCGGAAGTGAAAACGACGCGGCAGATGGTAAAGACGATGTGTAGTGACGATTGCAGGCGTCAATGGTGGACTGATTCGCAGAGGAGTCGTACTCGATAGTGGATACCATTGCCCGTATTTGAGAATTTGATGAGTGAATGGATTCCAAAAGTGAATTCAGACATGAAGTAACAGCGGAGAGATCGAGAAGGATGGTGGTGGTAGTTGTCACGGAGACCAATACGACGTGATTTGGGCAAATAACGGTGGTTTGATCTCTTTCAACAACTGCAACAAAGCTTCTCAAATCCATGATCTAAGAAAATCCATGGAAGTGGAGAGAGATAGGTTAGGTTTCATAAGTACAGCTTTTGAAGGAAGGTTAAGCTATGGCGAAGAGAGCGAGTGAAGCTAGAAGATGAACATAGAGAGATTACGGGAGAGAAAGAAGAAGAATTGGTATGTTACGGCTTACGGGTGAAGAAGGATGTTGGGTTGGGTGGGTAACGTGGGTTTGCTTGGGTCGGGTTCAATTAGTTGTAATCGGGTCAGAATTGGTTTAGATTAGGTTTAATCCGGTTTAGTATTTTCGTTAGTTTGGTAAGCAGTCAGTAAACCGAACAAAACCAATGTTTGTGTGTAAATAAGATGAAAACTTTTATTTTAGGGAGAAATAGGATTCGAACTATGAATTTATGGGGATATAAGTTGAGAAGTATATTTTCGGGGACATCTAGCACGTGGTCATAGATTGGGCTCTATCTGTTATGATGTGATACTTCTCGTGGGGAAATAGACCGTTTTTCCTAGTTTTACACATTATACAACAATGTAGTTTTTTTTTTTTTTTGGGCAATCAATACAACAATGTAGTTTACACACAAATATTTACTTTTCCTCCCTCTATAACTCAATCTATAATAGTGAAAAGCTGAAGATTTTAAAGAGACATTTTTGTTGTTGTCAAACTAATAATTCACTCCACAACCTAAAAGGAATAGAGTTAGATCAAAAGTAAAGTCAGCCACTTTAATCTTACACAGATCCAATGAGGGGAAAAAAAAAAAGAGAGAACATAGGTATAATTAAATAAAACCTATTCCATCGTGGTTCTGCTAATTATAACAATTAAACATGTTACTAATTAATTAAACTAGCAAAGATAGAGTGAAAGAAAGAAACATTTCTTACCCTTTTCTTTTACTTCTTTTTGTTATGCGTGCATGGAGTTTTGTCTAAATATCTGTAAACAGCTTTAAATATAGTGGAAATTAAATGTGAAAATTAAAAAAATAATTGAGAAAAAAAAAGACAACGAGTGAGGAATCTTGGATAAAAGGACACTACCCTTCCCTGTCTTTGCTCGCTGCCCGAAAAGAACATACAGAAACACTTTCACATTTCACACTTACAGAGAGAGAAAGAGAGAAAGAGAGCATTAGGTATTTTGAGGAAGACGAAGAAGAAGTAGAGGAGAGATAATGGTTCCGAGCAACAATCGATGCAAATGGAGTTTCATTTTCATGTTTCTGCTTAGTCTCTCCGTCGCCGTCGCTGACGACAAGGCTCCGGCGGTCGAGGATGGTACGCTTTTCACTTACCTTCATCAATTTTCTTGTTGTTTTTTTTGGTTTTTCTTAAATCTTTAATGTCATTTAAATAAGAATCTTGAGTTATCAAGATTTGATTTCTTGAATCCAATCCCTCTCTGTTCCAAGAACAGAGGACCAAAAGAATTTAGGTTCACACAGTTAATTTAGGGCAAACCATTGGATAGAGCTAAGGCGCTAAGATTTTTGGGGATTTTCCCCAATTTCACTTCACTGTTGCTTAGCTTTTTAAGTAAAAAAATCTAGATTAGCATTACTGGTTCGATTAGCACTGTTTATTTTCTAGATGGAATGAAACTCGGTTACTTACTTATACTAGACATTAGATACTATAACTGATTATTTTCTTTTAACATAGTAATGCTAATCTAGTTAAGGTTATCTCTTATTTAGGGGAAAATCTGTCAATTCAATTTAATCAGTCACAATAGAAAAGAAAATGAAAATTTGTAGATCTTAATGTCAATTAAGTATAAAATATCTTATTCGTGCTTTCGGCGGCGGCAAAATTAGAATGGAAGCCCTTCTTAAGTCTCAATTTTCTTTTTTTTTTCTAAATTAATTACACAAACACATACCAGAAAAATCCTAAAAACTCTTATTTTTTTGTGTGGATATTAATCTACCGATCTGATCTTAATAAAAAAGTTGTTTGTTAAATTTGGGCTAATTCTGGGCTTCCAACTAAAAACCAATTGGCAATTAGTGGATTTGCCCTAACCCTTTATATATTATTGATTGTCCCATCAAACTTCCGATGTGGGACTTGGATTGTATCTCCAACAATCTCCCCTTCAATCCAAGGACCACATGGATCTTAACACACCTCTTCGATCTCTCACTCGGACCGATAATAAGCCCCTTTCTCGGGCCCCCATTACTCGGGTTTGAGGTATGTCCGTATCCACTTTTCTAGGTCCACCAGAATTTGAACCTTGGGCTCTGATACCATGTTAAATTTGGGCTAATTCTGGGCTTCCAACTAAAAACCAATTGGCAATTAGTGGATTTGCCCTAACCCTTTATATATTATTGATTGTCCCATCAAACTTCCGATGTGGGACTTGGATTGTATCTCCAACATTGTTTAGGTACTTTACTTTCTAAGAATGTTTTTGATAAAAAAAAGTCTTTACCCAACAAAAAAAAACTTGGAAGGCTTCGCGCCAAATAAAAGGTGGTCTTTTGGGTCGTAGTATTATTAAACGACAAATAGTCCTTGATAAAACGAGATCGAAGTGTCTGAATACTTCTCTAGTTTTTCAACACGCTTTCTTCTTTTTTTTCCACCGAAAACATCAACAAATGTCTCTTCTTTCCCCTATTAGAAGGGGCACTTGTAAGTAATTGGGAACTGTAGAGTGTAAAACATAAAATTTTAGTAATAGTCAAAAAAGAGTCTTCAAAATTATGGTCCCACCAAGTCATAGCTAGAAGGTATGGGCCGTATGTCTGGGCCCATATTAGACGTTTCAAGCCTCGTGTCTCCTCCTTTTATTTTTTTTCTTTTTCTTTTCACGTTTTAATTATCAAGTAAATTAAATTGTTAAGTCGAATCTTCGGAAATTGTCTGAGAAAGACAAAAACAATGTCTCTTTTCACACAGCTAGCTAATTTCAAAACAATCTTGAACGTGGTCATTTGGCGTTTCCGAAGATTTTGTCTAACCAAATAATCCAATGTACATCGAGTTTTGTCACATTAATCCCTAAAATATTTTTAGTACCAATTTAAATTTACTGTAACCTTTTTTATGTTACTGCAGGTTTGGTTATTAACGGCGACTTCGAAACATCACCGTCACATGGCTTCCCAGACGACGGAGTAACCGACGGGCCATCAGATATCCCAAGCTGGAAATCCAACGGTACGGTGGAGCTAATCAACTCCGGTCAAAAACAAGGCGGAATGATCCTCATTGTCCCACAAGGCCGTCACGCCGTCCGATTAGGCAACGACGCAGAGATCAGCCAAGATCTAACGGTGGAAAAAGGTTTTGTCTACTCAGTCACGTTCAGCGCAGCTCGCACGTGCGCTCAACTCGAATCGATAAACGTGTCGGTGGCGTCTGTGAACGCAGACGCGGATGATATGGTTGCGTCGCGTAACGTGGATTTGCAAACGCTATATAGCGTTCAAGGGTGGGATCCTTACGCGTGGGCGTTTGAAGCGGAAGATGATCATGTACGGTTGGTTTTTAAAAACCCGGGTATGGAAGATGACCCGACTTGTGGACCAATCATCGATGACATTGCTATTAAGAAGCTCTTTACTCCTGATAAACCCACAGGTAACCCTGAATTTCTCTATTTTACTATTTTCTACCCCAATGTATTGAATTTGTTTAATTTTACCCTAAAATAAGCTCTAAACTCAATTCATTTTCACTCTGATCTTCCATATAAACCCTGAATTTCTCTATCTTTCTATTTTCGACCCCAAAAGTTCTGAAATGAGCCAATTTCACCCTGGTTTTTTTTTTTACATTTGTAGACAATGCGGTGATTAATGGAGATTTCGAAGAAGGTCCATGGATGTTTAGGAACACGTCTCTTGGTGTTTTACTTCCGACAAACCTCGACGAAGAAACCTCGTCTCTTCCAGGTTGGACTGTCGAATCAAACCGGGCGGTCCGGTTTGTTGACTCGGATCACTTCTCTGTTCCAGGAGGCAAACGAGCCGTTGAGCTACTCTCAGGAAAAGAAGGCATTATTTCACAAATGGTTGAGACCAAAGCAGATAAGCCGTACACATTGACTTTCTCGCTAGGACACGCAGGTGATAAATGCAAGGAACCATTGGCTATAATGGCATTCGCAGGTGATCAGGCGCAAAACTTTCATTACATGGCGCAAGCGAACTCTAGTTTCGAAAAGGCGGGTTTGAATTTCACGGCTAAGGCTGATCGAACCAGAGTCGCGTTCTACAGTGTTTATTACAATACGAGGACTGATGATATGAGCTCCTTGTGTGGACCTGTGATCGATGACGTTAGAGTTTGGTTCTCAGAGTCGAAGAGAATCGGAGCTGGATTTGGGTTTGGGTTTTCGGTTTTTGTTCTTCTTGCTATCGTTTTGGTTTAGTAATTCAACCCGGTTTTATTCTAGTGTACCGGTAAAATGTTATTACAAACCAAGAATTCTGTATGGTTTATCCTTAAGGTTAAATCAAAATCGTACCCGGATATTATTTCGGTTTGGTGTGGTTTGGTTTGGTAAGTAATAGGTTTTTATAATTTGTTCCACTCATTAAAAACGTCGTCGTTGCGTTAAAAGGCTCTCTCTTTTAAGTTTTCGAAATCTGAAATCATTCTCTTTGCTTCTTTGTCCGCCGCCGTCGTCTCCGATTTCCATAATACACTTCTTAATTGTTTAATCCGGAATTGTCACCGGAGGTATCATGAGTAGACAGAAACTGAAGCTGATAGGCTCTTTTGTTTTCATTCTTTGCTTACATGAACATTTCAGATTTCTGGATCTATTATTTAGAGTAATAGAGATTAGAGGTAGGGTTTAATTATATGTTTTTTTTTTTAATTATTTTGGCAATATTAGATGATGAAGATGATGAGATATAGCAGGTACTTAAGAGCAGTCTGTTTTTATCCTTGGAATGTTTCTTGGTGCAGCTTTGATCTTTTGCTATGCCAGAATCTTCCGGATACTCAGTCTGAATGACTTTTCAAATCAGCTTCTTTCTGATTCAATCATCTTCTACTTCTTTTTCATTAAACAATCTCATTTTTGTGTTTCTGTGATAGTTTTCACTCCAAAAATGTTTCTTGCTTCTGGCAAAAAAATATTGCTTCTTTGATGATGTAACATCCTGTTTAGAGTTTGGCTTTTTGGTGTTTATTATATATAAATGTTCTTACTCCATCTTTGTTGAGCAGCCCATATTTGTTGATTGTGTGATTGATTAGACTCAGCTTTAGTGTTTGTTGATTAGGTGTTATGAACTACTTTGGTTAGAGGGGAAAAATTGCCTCCTCATGTTAATGGTGTTTTCTTTTTCTTTTAACTTGATGTTACATAAGGTATATTGAAAGGAAGATGAGTTTAGGCAAACAACTTTATATGGTTTGATAGATAGTCCATTTACACTCTTTACAGCAAAACTTCAAAGCCAAAACAGAAGCCAAATGCCACATTGGTTTGAAGAGAAGATCAACCAAATTGCATTCGAATCTGTCTTTTGAGAGTATAATTTATTAAGTTACCGTCCTGCTAGAATCCAGTTGTGTTGTCATTGAAGGAGAAACAGAGCTTGCAGAGGTCAAAGACCATTGTGGACAACTGCTTCTCTAAGTCATCGTCTTATCTACTTGGAATAGCATTGTTCTGTTGTTGTCATCTAAGGAGAAACAGAGCTTGCCGGGTAATTAAGCTTTATGAGTGTATTGCACTACTTTCTTTTTGGAAAGGGAGCTACTGTGTTGTTTGTGCATTTTTTGACTTTCCGTACATTATACACATTTTTTTATACCTGTATGAGTCTTAAAAGAGGACTAGAGATATGAGACTAAGAAAAAAAAAACATGAAATAGCACTTTATATCTTCTAGATATTTATCTTGGAGGAAGCAAAGATTACATTATGCATCGACAATAATCAAATGCATAAAACAGAGAATAAACTCTGGAAATAACAAACAGGAAATCCAATGGAGTCAGCAGCGAAAGCAGTATCATAAGATTGAGTTTGGGGATCATGTATCACCAGGGTTCGACCAGTCTTTAGATTAAAATATAGCAATTTTTTTCTGATTCGATCGTTGATTTCCACTGCTTCGATACAGCCTTGAACCTCAGCAGAGATCCCACCGGAGCTCTCTCGAGGATGATCTCTACGACATCGTGGGGCAGCCAGTCCAAGTCCATCCTCAAACAAAGTTTTTTCGACATTGCAAAACAAGTATCTCCATCGACCAAGAGATGCAGAGGCTCTAGTCCTAAATACGGTAAACTCTATTTACGTTTGGTACGAAAAAGTGTTAAAAGGCTTTTTGCTAACGATAATATTTAAGTATCAAGCCCATTTTGATAAAAATGGAAATTGGGGCGACCCGGTTTTTGACTTGGATCGTGAGTCGGGTCAACGTTCCCGTGTCTTTTGACTTCTTCCCTCGTCGTCCTCTCTTCCTTGGCCAAGTATCCTTCTCTTCGTTTCTCCATTGCCGATAGATCCGCCGTTAGTCATCGGTAAACGCAGCGGAGGTGCTATATAATTCTCTGGTTTCTGCGACACGCCGGTTAATCGGATCTCAATTATGGACGAGGAGGCAGCAAAACCTAGAGAATCCACCGTGAATCAGCAACAACAACAATACTTATACGGAACGTTTCAAGGCGTTGCAAATTTTCCTCCTCCAGCTCCGCCACCTCAATTTCTACCGCCGTTGCAGCAACCGATTGCTACGTTTCCTGGACATGCTTATCAGAATCTCCAAGGTTTTTAAAATCTCTCTCTGATTTTGGATATGAGTTGTTTCTTGTTTGGTTTGTGATTGTTTTTGTGTTTGAAATTTGTTAGGTCATAGTGGTGGTTTTGTGAATTATGCTCAAGGTTTCCCAGTTGTTCCTGGTAATTCCATATCCAATCTAAGTGAATTTTTATAGAATGTTTTGTATGGTTGGTTTTATGAATGATCAGATACTGAGGGTTGCTATTTTTGGTTAATGTTAAGAGTATTTGAATCTTGTTTTGTTGTTTTAGATTATACAGTGGTTGAGGTGAGACCTATGATAGAGCATGAACTTCCTTGCTGTGGCTTGGGCATGGGCTGGTTTCTGTAAGTTCCTTCTTAGTTGCTTTTTCATTTCATAGCTTTGTACACTAAATATGTCTGGCAATACGAATCCCAGTTCCATGTGTTGCGAAACGCTAAATTCATTTGATTTCTGTTTTTTTTTCCATGTATAATATCAGAACCACAAAAGCTTAGTTTTATGGTCGTTGGAAACTGGGTTTTATGGTCGGTAGATTTTATAATGCTATCAAACATTTCGTGTGTTGACAGTATTAAGTCACAGTTCGTTATGGAACTTGCCCTAGATTCTGTAAATGGCTTGTCTCTCCTTGAATCTATTTATTTCGAGGTCTACTCTAGTTGATTTGATTGCATTATGTAACCATTTTTACTCTAGTCATTGGGGATATTTTTCTTCTTGGTAAAAAAGCTTCATACCCTTGGAATCAATATAAAAAGTCTGTGTAAAAACTTTTTGTGGCTTGTCTGTCCACTAATGTTGAGATTTACAAAAGCATCTAGATAGCTAATATTCGATAAAATGGATGCGTTTGTCATTCAATCTGGATATACTTGGAAGAACTCCCTGACACAGTGAAATGAGAGCAACATGGCTTATATGATTCTATTGTCTCACACGAACAGGAGAAAGCTGAAAGTGTACATCTTGTGACTTGAAACTCGTTCTAGTTGCTAATTGAAGGTTTTTGTGTATGGTCCCAGGTTTATCATGGGTTTCTTGTTCGGTGGGATCCCTTGGTACCTTGGTGCTTTTATTGTTCTAGTCACATCTGTTGATCACCGCGAGAAAGCTGGTTACGTTGCCTGTTCAATCGCTGTGAGTTCCTCTCAGTCTCTTTCATTACATTGTCGTAGAACCACGACCTTGGTCACTCATCTATATTTCATCATTGTGGTCTCATAATCTCTTTTTCTTTTTATGAATTCTTCCAGTCCGTTGTCTATTTGATTGCCGCCATGCTCGGGATGACTGGGGATATTAACATCTGGTGAAACTACTCCCCAGCCAAAACCAAACTCAATCTTGTGTATATATCTACATATATACTCGAAAACGTAGATATATATATATCAATATTTACACCACGTAGTGATGATTTTAGTGAGTTACAGAAGGGTAATATTTGTAACGATGTGTTGAATTTTATATTATAACAAATATGTATATATGTTGTTGATTCCCTTGGTGGCATCTATTGTACATGTAAAATATTTTGTGATTTGTTTTGACGATTGCTACTACAAAAAATTTCCCCTCTTCAACTCAACAACTTTATTATAGATCCTAATTACTTGCAAACATTAACAATCGGCTTTAACTAAGGGGGTGTTATTGGTTTATTAGTTTGTAAATCCATATAGAATTTGAAAATCCCCTATATATTAATAGAGAAACATTTTTTTAAAAAAACCTTACCATCATGTGTTATTAACAAGATTGCCACGCTGATGTGTCGCTCTCACAATGATTTGGCTTCTATTTAGATAATTACCCAAGATTTATTAGACTATTTACAGAATTTGCCATTAGTCTCATACATCCATATATCCCATTAATAATTAAAAACATACACTTTTTGTTTATCTTATATTACTATATTTTTATATTTATTTTTTATATACATTTATATATAAAAAATTTAGCGGATGGGTAAACAATCTTTTTATTTATGTTTATATTTATGTTTATATTTAAATGATAAAATATATACATTTGGCTCAAGAATCTCGAATTCAAAACTACAAAATCTTTACATCTTTCATAAATTTTTTACTTAAATAAATAAGATAATCTCCTTTCTATATATGTTACGAATACTTAAAATCCTATTTTTTGGAGGAATTCTAACTTTTCGAAGAAAAACATTATAACCACATTTGTATATAAACCAAAATCTGGCCACATTATAACCATTTCGTAAATAATCCATTCATAATTTAAGAATCATAGATTTGGAACACTACAAAATCTTAGCTTGGAAACTATCAAATCTCATCTTTGCTAAATTTTGGATTTCTTATACTTATTAAAAAAAAAAAATTCTTTTTATACTACAAAATCTCGAAATCTTTAAAACATACGGAAAGACATATTGCCATAAATGGTAACATTTCGTCAATACTTATATGAATTAGTCCCAAATTTGAATAAAACAAAAAAAAATTTGTAACATGTTTCGTTTTACACAAACGGGTCTTGGATCCCGGATAATAATTTTAATCATAATAATTTTACTTGAATCACTTCATCCCGCACATCGTGCGGGTTGTTATCTAGTCTCTATTAATTATGAAATCAAGATATATGGATTTTGAAATAACATGTGTTTACCCATAGATTTGAATCCTTCTATTTTACTCTTTCAATTCCATTCAATTCCATTTAAAACATAATTTGGATTCTCAAATCCAAAAAACAAATGACTAAACGAATAGCAAAGGATTTTAACTAGTATTTATAATTTATAGAACCAATAACACATGATTTTAATTAGAATTTTAAAATCAATGATTGAATAACAAATGATTTTTATTTGGATTTCTAATTCCTTATAAATTCATGAACCAATAACCCCTTCTAAGTCTTTTGGAATTTGTAAAATTAAGGATATATTCTTTTTTAATATAGGAAAATTAAGGATAAATATCTGTAGTCCTGTAGAGAATTATTCGGCCATGGGTTGTGAATTTAGAAAGCCCAATGGGCTTTAAGATCTGGTACGAAAGTTTGAGATTAGGGTTTTCATTCTCCTTCTCTTTTACAAACTAGGTCATATATATATATATATAAACCTGCAAGAAGCATGTTCGCGTCTCTAGGAAGATTCAATCATCGGCGGTGGACGAAAATGGGTGTTTTCAGGGTAAATTCTCGTTAAATCTAGCCGGAGTTCTTACTTCTCATGCAATCAATTTTACGCAAATCTGATGGAAAATTTGTTCTTGCAGCTTCACCAGTACCAAGTCGTAGGAAGAGCTCTCCCGACGGAGAAAGATGAGCAACCGAAGATTTACAGGATGAAGCTTTGGGCTACGAACGAGGTTCTTGCCAAATCCAAGTTCTGGTTAGTATAATTGTATCATCAATTTCATGATTTTTGAATCTTCGTTTGAAGAATTATTCATGTTATGTGTTTTGTATTCAGGTACTTCTTAAGGAGGCAAAAGAAGGTTAAGAAGAGTAATGGACAGATGTTAGCTATCAACGAGGTACTACTTCGTTTGCTCTTGTATTCTCTGATCGGACTAATATGAAATTTAGTCTAGGATCTGAATTTATTTGTTCTTGATAGGCTCTCAGAATTATGGAACATGTAAAATAATTTTGTGTTTTGTGTTGCTGTTGTTTAAAATGATTGATTGGTGTGACAGATCTTTGAGAAGAACCCAACAACGATCAAGAATTTTGGAATCTGGTTGAGATACCAGAGTCGTACTGGTTACCATAACATGTACAAAGAGTACCGTGACACTACTTTGAACGGAGCAGTGGAGCAAATGTACACTGAGATGGCGTCAAGACACAGAGTCAGGTTCCCTTGCATTCAGATTATCAAGACAGCTACAGTCCCAGCCAACCTCTGCAAGAGAGAGAGCACTAAGCAGTTTCATAACAGTAAGATCAAGTTCCCGTTGGTCTTCAGGAAGGTTAGACCTCCCACCAGAAAGCTCAAGACTACCTTCAAGGCCTCCAAGCCTAACTTGTTTATGTAGAAGCTCCCTCCATCTTTTTCTATCATAAGGTAATTTGACTTTTCATACTTTTAAGGGATCAAAGTTGCTGGTTTTTTCTTTTTTTTTTAAAAAATTTTTGTGGGTAGAATCTTTGAAGTATTATGATTCGTTCTCTTGGTTTCGTTCGATTATGGATTTTCTTGTTCATCTTTAGTAGTTGACACTATTCAATCTTTAAAGAATTCAATTTTTCTTGACTTTCTTCTTAAGACGTTTTTCTTATTAACTGTAACCTTGATATCTATAAGTTTAGCTCCTAGACAATGGTAACTAATACACTCATATATAGATAGCATATCCTCGAAGATGGGGAAAGATAAACTTTAAGGCTAAAGCGTTATTTTGGACGGCTTCTGTGAGGCACTAACTCCACAGGACCAAACCCCGACGAACCAATCTAATCGGCTAAAGTGAATGAACAATCTTTGGAGGACTTTATCCCTCTCCGGCTCTCCTAAATAAAATCAGAAGACAGGCTAAAAATTACAAAAAACAACTAAACCTTAATGGGCCAAAAGCATATGGGCTTATTTAATAACAAAGCTCCTTGTAGCAGCTTTTTCACACGGTTTGAGATGTTACAAAATCTTTCAAGACTTCTCTTTGATAATACTTTTTTCTTTCTGTTTTGATAAGATTTTGTTAAACTCAAAGGTGACTTCTATTAAAATAAAATATTTCGGTTTCATTAACCCATTACTGGATTGTGTAGAAAACAATAACAATTCATAATGTATAAAAAAAAAACATAATTCTTAAAGACTTATAAAATACTTAACTAGTGAGTATCACAAATGATCTACTAGTTAAAATCTTGATCATCAATGTTTGTTATTATTCTCATCATCTCCTCTCTGGATCCTTGCAGCAGCTTCATCACACAGTTTCTCATAGAGCCCTTCAAACTTTTCCAGTATGTTCTTCGCCTCTTCGTGATCCTTCACCTCCTTTGGATCCACTTTCCACCACGCATCCTCATTCAAGGGCATCTTCTCCGCCAATGCAGCCGCCTTCTTTACTTTGACTTCTTCCGCCTTTGCCTTCTCCACCATCCTGTTGTATACGTTGCAAAGCTCTTGAATCTTCGCTTGCTGGTGAGCATTCATGACCGATCGTTGCAACGATGAAGAAGACGAGGAGGTCTCGCCGTTGAGAAACCGCTCTGCCACGGCTTGGAAGGATGGGCTACCGAATGTGTAAGGCTTTCCGGAGCAAGAGTACCCGAGAAACGCAACTTCAGCGCCGCAGAGAATGGAAATCTCGCTGAGCTTAGTGTAGATACCATTTCGACGCTTAGACAATGTGACCAATCTGTCTTCGTCTTTTTCAATTTTCTTGATGGTAATCTTTTGCTTTCCTTTGGTTTTCTTGGGATTCATTTCGGAGGAAAACAAAATTATGAGTTTTTTGGTTATAAAAAATTAGACTTAGGTATGTGTTTTCTTTTTTGGCTTTAGCCAAGGAATATGTTTTTTTTTGGTGGGTGCAAGATTGGGTTTATATAGATGGATAATTGGTAGTAAGTTAAATTGCATAAAAATTAGTCAATTCTTAGATTAATGTTTGGAAGTTTAGTAATAGTTGTTGTTCGCAAAGTTTAGGCGCAGATTGGTAAAAACTTTGACTGTAAAGACTTTGACTATATAAATTTATAACAGATTGGTAAAGATCATGACTATAGAAACTACAATTTTAAATAATTACCAAATATGTGGGAAAATAGATATTAAAAAAACAGAAAAAAATTTCGATTGTAAATCAATTGAGGATATTTTATGTGAGTTTAGTGAAAATATTATTATAAGTTTATAGAAAATATTTATTTTTACAAAATTTAAAATATTATTGTGTAAATACTTGAAATATTTAACATAATACATTTTTGAGAATATTATCAGAAACTAAGAAAATTAAATTTTTTTATTTTGAAAATAATATATGTATTTATTCATGAAAAAGGTGTGACCCTTATACGCAGTTTAAGGGAAACTTCTAAACTTTTATTTTCTTATGCTATAATATTTTTATATACTTTTAAAAATAAATAAATAAAAAATTAAATATTTTAGTAAATTATAAATGGAAATTAGAACGCAAATTACATTTCATTAAAATAGATACATTTTGTAAATATGTAAAGATAAAGATAAACATAACTACAAGCATATCAAAACAATCAAAACATATATTGAATAACAATTAATAGTAGGACGGATCCGGAATCACACTCGATATGGATCTGTTATATTTGAGTTTTGACTATCGAATCCAGACCTGTAACTTCCACATATCCGTCCAAATATCAAAAAAATTGTGATTTCCGGCATCCGAATCTGTAAAAAAACAAAGATAATTTTATAAATAAATTATTTGATTTAAAATAATGATAAAATTTAATTTCAATATAGGTTTTCACAATAAATCTAGATCTAACGTTTTTAAAGTTCAACCAATTATGAAATAGACTAAATAATATAAATAATCATAAAATATTAAATTAATCTATAATTACATAGAAACTTGAAAACATCATATAATATGAAACAAAAAAAGTTTCTACAAAATATCTTATACTATATATCAAAAAAAATTAGAACGTATATATATCCAAATCTGATTTCAGTAGATATGTCATAGGTCATATGAGATCTTACTATTCAGATTTGGATTCCACCCTTCCAGATATCATAATTTTTGGAGAAGATATGATATCAAATATTGGACCGCTGTCAAAATCACCCACCCCTATAATAACAATAGTCTATATCATTTTTAAAAAAATAAGATGCCAAGCTAGTACTTGTTTCGTCCTACTTTTTTCTCTCTCTTATTAAATCTCTCTCCCTTCTCTCTTCAACAAACTCTCGCCGCTGGTTTTGCGTCTCCGACCGGCGCGTGTGGGCCACCATGGACACGGCGTCGGTTGGCTTTCCAGCTTTTGTTTAGTTAACAAGTTCTGGGTTCGTGTGTGGAGAGATCTGTGATTTGGTTTCGTTTTTCGTTACCTTCTCTGATTTCTCTCTTTTCAGATCTAGGGTTTGGTTGCTTGGTTTTTGTTGCAGGTTCATCTTCTTTATTTGTCTGAGTTCTTCCTGGCCCTAACCGCGATGGCTCTAAGCCACCCACTGTCGGTGTGGTGGTGATTCGGTTTGGGCGACCTAATTTTCAGGTTTCCTCACACAGCTTCAACAAACGGATCTAAGGCGAGATCCGCCTAGGTTTGGGTCCTTTTACCGGTTCACGTCCATTAGTTGACATTTCCGGCCCGGCGATTCCGACGGTCTTTGCAAGTTTGGCCAAGGTTCCACCGTCCCGCCATACAAGGTATCCCAAGGTTTTTCTTCTGAAGACTCTTAATTAACAAGTGAGGCATGTAGATCGGAGATTTTCTGGGTGGTGTTCAGCTCATTCGATGCGATCTCGGTTGGCTCGGATAAAAAGGATTTTGTATCTCTGTGTTAAATCATTTCAATCATGTTTAGATCTTTTCAGTTTTAGTTTTTTCTCTTTTGTTTGTTTGTTTCCCCTTGTATGGGGCTCAGTTTCTGGGGGTTAGAGTCCCGCCGGCTTAGTTTCTGGGGGTTAAAGTCTCGCCGATCTTTGTATTCCGACAACGTATTTCACCCGTGATATATAATCTTTCAGACGGAAAAAAAAAAAGCTAGTACTTGTTTATAATTTGAATTACCAGTAACTCCTTGATCAATTTTTTCCATGGGCATGTGTCTCGAGGTTGAGTTTGAAATATGGATCATTCGATCATTTGAGGATGAATATTCTTGGTATTATATTATACATAATAAAACTATTTAAACTAAATAAAATCTATTACAAATATCATATATATCAGTTTTAAAAACTTTTTGCCGAAATACCAACAATACTTTATCGATTATTACAACATACTATGTTAAAAACTTTACTCTGATTTCAATCTAAGTCAATTTCTTTTTCCAAATTCTATACTTGTAATTGTGTAAAAAGATATTTTTCTCACATTGACTTGTTGAATTGACTGAATGAACATTCTACTTTTAAAATCTATACTATTAATTGGGAAGCATTCAAACATAAATAACCTTATAAAGTGTAAAGTATTACAAAAATGCCATTGGTTTTTATTTTTAAATAAATTCATTAAAGATACAATAGTAATCACAAAATAATATATTTAAATAAAAATAATAAAATTCTTTAAAGTAATTATTAGTTTCCAAAAAATTAAACTCACTTTCTCTCTCTTATTAATTATGGACGGAAATTTAAATTTTTTTTCTAAAAAGTTGTTAACCAATGAGAATTGAAAAACTAAAATTTGATATCCAACTAAAATTTTATCTAAACTAATCCTAATAAACTATTCTATACCAAAAATAAAAAGAAAAATAATACCATTTTAATTCAAAATTAAAAACACTATAGATTAAAAATTTTTATCAATGGAAGATTTTAAGATTGAATTTGAAATTTCGTAAAACAATTAAATACAAATATTTAAGACTCAGTTTTGTTATAATATTTTCACAAATTTTGAAATATAAAACAAAATTTTATTTCACAATTTCTAAAAAAACGATATTGGGCATTCGTTTAGAACAAGTTTCGGAAATATCTAAACAATAGATTGTATAGATTAATTTTGAAATATTTTGTGTTTTCTTTTTTTTTTCTTCTCAACCGGATCTTCCTTAAACCAATCCATAATATATTGCACACAATTTTCGAAATAATGTGAACTAATTATATATTTTGCATTCAAAATAAATTATGCAGCAATAGCATATCCTTTTTATAGATGTATCTCAAATTTTAATTTTAGTCCAAAAAATCGAATTAATTATGATTAAACAATGAAAAGAAAAATATGTAAAATTTAGCTAGAAATATTAATAAATTTTTTAAAATATATTTGTAACTTTAACAGCATACATATTAATTTGTAAAACTCACAGTATATATTATAATATTGTATGGTATTTAAAGGTAAGCAAACAAGAATTGGGAACATAATTTTAATGGAATTAGAAATTACGAGACGAGATGGAAGGGGAACATATATTAAAAATCAAACTAAATACCCAACTGGTATGAGTTCGGGTTATGAGCACTATATAAAATAAATTTGTCTACACACATAACCTTGTACATACGTTTTCAGTTACACATACTCTATTTATGACAGATATGCGACCCTAATATTTTTATTTTACGTATACGTGACAGGTTATGAGACAAAGAATGTATGAGAGATACCGGACGGGATATGTTTCCTGTTCCAAAATAGTTACGCCTTGCTAATATACATGAAATAACCCAAACTAAAACCGAATTCATATCCTATTTAACATATGTAATCAAACTGTTAGAACTGTTTTGATTAGTTAAGAAAATAAAAATGTAACACTATTTAACTTTTGCAACTAAATTAGTCCGGATCTTAAAATATAATTATGCATTAACGCAACTGAATTTTTTGTTCATTACTCTAACTTTATAATATTTATATTATTACGAAGTTTACTAATACAACAAAATATTTTATATTTTTAAAATCTATATAACAATTTCTATAAAAATATTTCTACACGTACGTGGATCCAGATCTCATACACTAAAATATATATCATAAAAACAACAAAATAATCTATATTGAATTAAATTTTGTTAGAAATTTTTTAAAATATGAAACCCCGCACGTACGTGCGGATCATGATCTAGTTTATTTATAAAGTCATTACTCTTTTAGTCAAACTTATAGATATTTGCAAATATATGTAGATTAGTCAAGATCGGATATAGCTACAAATTTTAAAGTTGGTCAGATAAAAATAACTAGGACGTGAGAAAGAAAGTACTTGGCTGATTTCTATTTGGTTATCCTGTATATTCCAGGATATTTTGACTAATAATTAAATTAAGAAAAAATAAATTCATTTTGATTAACACAATCAATAAAAGAAAAGGTAATTCACTAATTTGTCAAAATTTATAGCATATCAAATTATCTAATTTGCTACGTTGGGGTTGGTCCAAGCGGTCCAAAATCTTGAAATGGCCAAACCTACACATCATTATACATACCGAAGATTAGCCAAATAGATTACCAAAACAAATGCAAATAACACATTTGAAGTTCCGAAATCAGTTAATCCGACTATATTTCTATGTTAATGACAAAAAGCTTATACCCTCCAAAGCACTCTGCCTTGAATAAGACCATAAGGTACAGGACCAAAGTTTCTTGAGTCTCTCGAATTATGAGTATAGTCACCTTGAACAAAGACATGTCCTTTAGGAACCTAAAACCAAAAGAACATCGAAATATCAATTCGCCATTAATCCAACAAACTAAACAACTTATAATGTCGAATTAAAACTAAACAATCTAAAGGAAATTGTAATGTACACCAATAACACTAACATTGCCAAAAGATTCATGCTAAATCGAGCTAAATACTGATAACAACTTGGTTTCAACTCTGATCACTCAATTTCTCAACAATGTATCTACTTTCTTCAAACTAAGTACTCTACATACTACATTCAAAATCTGATTCATAAGCAAAACCAAAGTGAAGTGAAGTGAAGTCAACAAGGAAGGTTAAGTAACAAACATACCACAATGGTTTCAGATTCATCACTCTTCACTGGATCAATCACAAAGCTTATACAATCACCTTCAATACCAACAACTCTCTTAATCGGAGTCTTATTAGGGTTTTCTGGAGATCGTATCACAACAATATCTCCACGACTCGGTTTCTGATATCGCTTAGAGATTCTCTCAGCTAATAACACATTTCCCGAAGGATGAAGCGTCGGAATCATGCTCGGACCATAAGCCTGCTCAAAAAAGACAACATCTTTATGGATGATTCTCAATGAAGACTTCGATTAAAGAAAAAAGAAGAGAGATTTCGATTGACTCACATAAGCCATGAATCCGAGATAGTTGGTGGTAACATGGAGGAAGCAGTAGAGTTTCGCTATAAACACGCCGCTTTTCATGGCTTCTCGTGAAGCTGTGTTCCAGAAAGACGACGACAGAGACGCCATTGCCGATTGCTTCAAACGAATCGAGATTCGAGTCTCAAATCTGATCTCACGAAATTGAGCGACACTAGATTCAGTGAAACGAATCAGACCTTGTTTAGATTGGAGAGGAGAGGAAACAAAATCCAATTCCGTCACTTTCTCACGATATCTCTAACACCTTTCGTCGTCCACCGTTGTCAGGAGAAGCCGGCGTAAAAATCTTCACCGGAAATTTATTCTTTTTTTTTTCTCGAGAAATTTCGAGTACAAAATAAAAATTATAATCGGTTATTGGCTTTGGTTTCGTTTGATGAACTAAACCATCGGTTTAGTAATAATTTTTTTTTTTTTTTTTTTTTTTTTTTGGGCAAGCGGTTTAGTAATAATTAACAACCGAATTTGTAGCAATTATATGATCAATAACCAACTCACACAATAACTGAATTAACATAATTATTCTCCTTCTCGTTCGATGGCAACTAAAATTAGATTTACCTCTTATGGGCTGACTAGAATTTGGGCTTTAAATTAATAACGATTATCAAGTGAAATCATTAACCATAATAGTTTACATAAGTCATAAATGATTACAGTGAAAGTTATAACAATACAAATCAAAGCTCAAACCAAATCCACAACTACTTGTGCAAACACAGCTTCTTCATCGAAGCAATAACACAAAAGCAAAATATAAGAGAGATTCAACATAAAGTAGATACCATCCTGCAGAAGGAAGTGAGTAGAGGGAGGAATATAGAGAGAGAAAGGTCCAGATAAGCGCTGGACCGATGATTTACCTCCGAAGAAACAATAGTGAAGGAAGAACGAATATCGCGCGGTAGCATTCAAGATTGGTTTGAGAAATGTCCAACGCCAAGTTTCTGTGCTTCGATTTTAAGTGACTTGAGATACTGAACAGCTTCATCAAGAACGCAAGCTGTATTCATCTGTTCTCCTCCCGGGACAATTCTCCTCAACACTCCCATCATCTTCTTCATCTTTTTCCGTCCTTTCCCATCATTGTTACTACTAGCACTGCCCGATAAACTCTGCTTCCTTGAGTTGTTGTTGTTGTTGTTGTTATACCCATAGCTGGAACAACAAGATTCTGCTGAGGTGTTTCCATAATCCCTGGAAGAATTACGAGCAGTGCTGACCTCTTCTGAATCACCATCCTCATCACCTTCATTATCATCATCTTCATAATCCTCATCTGCGCTCAAGAGGGCATCGATCTCATTCGGATCCTCTTGATAAGAAGAGGATGCTTCTTGGTCATAGTTACCATAGTTACCATAACTTCCCCCAACATACTCGTTCTGAAATGTCGAAGCTAAATTGTTCAATGATGGGGTATTCATGAGCTTATGAGTCAGCTCAGGATGGTACATCACTTGGCTGCGGTCATACGTTTGATCGAAGATGACAAAGTTCTTTGGACAGACCGCAGACGGTTGAAGTTCAACACCATGGTATGGCAACTTTGCACATGGTGGGAACAAAGCATCAAAGGATGACCCTGATGCATACGGATTGTGCATATTTCTGTCACCCACTTCATCTGAGAAGTGAGGAAACTGATTGTTCTGCATCAGAAAACCCGTGCAAAGGTAAAAGCGAAACACAAAGAGAAAAACAAGTTGTACACCTCAAACTGCAGGCTGCTTAAATTTTTCGACTACCGATTCGCCTTTGTAAGCTTCCAGCTGCTCAGTTACTACTACACTAAGTTGACAGTCGAACCAAATGCTATATCAAGTTATGGCCATCATACTAAAGATATCACGAATTTCCACCAGAGCCCTTACCCCCAAAACCAGAAGCTCCCCCACAGACAGCTCTTCAGAACACCAGACTCTTCAGAACACCAGACTCTTAATACCTCACAATAATTCTTTCGAAATCAAAAGTAGATAGCCGCTCAAAACCCCCAATTTCCGAAAACTCCAGACGCTAGACTACGTTACAGGCTTAAGCAACTGTCTGAAATATTCAGCCTGCAATGATTTATAAGAGAGGTTGAATATCAAACACACTATGGTTTATGCTCTAACAAATAAAACTATTTACACAAAACATGTAGAATAAGCATCTATAAGACTAGTCACATACCATCAAGAGGATAGAGTTCTTTTAATGACATAAATCAGTGTTGCCTAAGCGATAAAAGTGTTAAGAAATACGGTAAAACCAGGAGAGGTATGTATGTACCTGGCAAACTTGAACGGATTGGTAATTAGCAATGAAACATGTAGTCATCATAAAAGTTCCTATTTCCTTCAATGATCGGTTTCCCTTCTTGTTTCCAACAATGCACATTCTCACACTAACCAGTAAAATAAGCACAACAACAAAGAGCTATTCCGATTTCCGGAAACAACACCTGCAAAACAAGAAAGGAACACCAATAGTTTTAACAAAAGAAGCTGTAAATAAGGTGGCAACAAGAAAATTTATTTTCCACATGGCACCAACGTAAGAAAAGAAAAAAATATTCTTAACTAGAACACAAAATGTTCTTACTGTTAAACGTAAGATAATCAGAAAAGAAACTACAAGTTAAAGACTTGACATGAATGACTACGTAACTGCAGACCAAAACACAGGATGTGAAATGAGAAGCTGGCTCACCTGAAAGGATCAAATTTACAGAATAACGAGGAAAAAGACAACCAGACGAGTGCAAGTCCTGTTGAAAAACATGAAGAAGGCTGTCCAGGGCATCTTTGGTTCTTCCAATATCAAGTTTTAAGTGTATTTAAATAGCGTTCCTCTTCTCACAAACTGCACATACAAACAAACAAAAATTAGGACCAACGCTATTCAAATACTATATATATTTCCGCATATGAAGTTGAAAGGCACTGAAATCGAGGTAGAATCCTAACATAAATACTGGCAAAACAAAACACAGAAACTAAAACATGGGAAATGTCTAATTCAGAAAAAAAAAAAAACACAACTTTATGCATCTGCAGGAAACATAGCACCATGACTAAAGACAACAACAACGGATCCAGGATAAATGTTTTTCAATCCACATAGTGATCACAAAGCATAATAAAATAACTCAACAACTCTGCTTCAAAAACAGAACACATAGACGAAACAAAACCTTAACAAAAGAGTTGAACTTGTTCAAAAAAATATCTTCACGCGATCATGAATAGTTTATTCAGAATAACACAAACAAACATAAACCAGACAGAACATTCAATATAAAAATCAAATCCAACAATCATCTGAGAGAATATTAAACCATAAATAGCTATTTAAGTAATCAAACAAACAAAAGTAACCATCAAAGTAATACGAGATAAAACCCCTAAGTCAGAAATTGCGGCGGAACAAAGAATCAAATATCATACCGTAAGAAATGAAAACCCTTTGGATCAAATGAATCGGTGATGCGTAAAAACTTAAGCTTTGAAGCCTCTGATCAAATTCGAAAGACGTGTTTTTTTTCTTTTTTTTTGTTGGAGGGGAAGAAGAAGATCTAGAGAGAATGAATGATGTGTGGCAAAAAGAGAGAGAAGGGAAGGGAGAGAAATAAGGAGAAAGTGACAGAGAGAGAGAGAGAGAGCGTGGCTTTCTTTTTCTGGTGCGGTTTGTTTTTTTTTCGTTTGGTTTGCCCATTTTCATTTTTAATCACTCGCTAGTCACTACTACACAAACATTTGTTTAAAGTTTTCTCTAAAAAAAATTAATAATTTCGTTTCACGCTTTTCGTGCGTGAATCTACTTGTTTTGTTTTTTAAATGTGGAGCAAAAAGATGTTAAACTTTACTGCAAATTTTTGGATTTATCTAAATCAATATTTGCACTCCTACTAATTTGATTCATCCAAGATAAAAAAAAATCTTGGACAAAATATGTCTTTTTACTAGTTAGATTAGGTTAAATAAATTCTTGGCGCAGAAAGATGACACATCATTAGTACTTAGTAGTGGTATTTTAAAGAGTTTAAATCCACAAAAAGTACTATGAGTGTCGTTGTTTCTCAACCCTTTAATATGTTGTTTCTTTAAAAAATTTCACCATCTAACTATAGAAGTAAAATTTCTGTGATAAAACCATAGGAATATTGTTATCCATTTCTGTAATATAAGGAATTAGGTATGGACGTTTGAGTATTCGGGTCAATTCTATTCGATTCCGATTCTTTCATAACTAGAGTTCATGATCTATTCGAATATTTGTTTTGGTATATCCGTTATGTTCGGATAGTTTAGATATGTATTGGATATTTTTTCCAAGTTTATAGTATTTTATGTTATAACTTATACGGTTTAAAATAGCTAATTTTTTTTATATATCATTGTACTTCATATATTTTCAGGATCCAAAATATTTCAATTTGATATTAGTTCGTTTCAGTTTATTTGGTTTTTGAGTTTTGAATCCATTTTCATATTTTGGAATTTTGGTTCAGTTTTTGAGTTTTGAATCCATTTTTATATTTTGGAATTTTGGTTCGGTTTCAATTCGTTTTTTTTTCAGTTTAATTTTGGTTCAGTTAATTTGCCTACGACTAAATGGAATACACTGGGATGACAGTGTTAACCCATGTATAACACTGTGTAGATGGATTTTCTTGAATGGAAAAATGAAAAAAGTTTTTTAAACAATAATATAAAATAGCTGTTATTTTTTTTGGTGAGTATATAAAATTAGTTGTTATGATAAAATAAAATAATAAATAGTGGAAATGAGAAAAAAAAAACAAGAGAGGGAGCACGCGTGAGGGGATGGACAGAAGAGAGTCAAACAAGGGAAGTGTGAGCCGTTGGATGAAACAATCTCAAATGGTTTCCGTTTAATGCGGCCTTGATCGTGACCGTCCGTTGGTTGCTCCTTTAGCACGCGTGAAAAGCTTTTGTGGACCTAGCTCCCACCAAAAACCAAACTCTCTCTTCTTTGACAATTTTTATTTGTAATTTAGAGACGACGACACAGTGACACACTCTTCTCTCTCTTTGGGCTCTTGTCCCAACCCCATACTTGTTCCAAAGAATATTACTTATTATTTCCAAACCAAACTCATCATTCTTGTCTCTTCACTTTGAGCTGTAATTTTAAGTTTATGTTGGCATGCGTATGCTTGGTAATATTTTTTATTATTTCATTGGTAAGCGACAAACAACAAGTAAGAATATTTGGTGAAAATAAAGAAAGTAGATATTTGGCTATAAGTTAGTAAGGATTAAAATAATTTGAATCGTGTGGTTTAATTTAAATCATGATTTTGGACAGTATTAGTTTCAAAGGAAACCGTTCCACACATTGCTAAATGTTTGATCTCATGATGATGGTTCTTTCTAAATCCATCATTATGTTTCTATTAGATTCATTAGTTGAAGAAGTGTTTTCTCATAAATTTTGATATGTTTCTCTACGAGTATCCGTTACGAAATTTTGATATGTTTTTTTTTTTGTATTACACATAAAAATGTGGATGTTTGTTCTAAGTCTTGTTAAAAGGACCGAGCCAATGCAATTAAATATTGTACACAAACATTAAAACGTTTCTGAAGCATTGCTATGGATGGCAAAAGTATTCTTCAACACTACAAAGGAGGTCAAATCTGTTCCTTTTCGGCCTTGTTTAGGAAAAAAAAAATCCAAAGCGAACAACATTTTTGGAATGAGAATATCCAAGTGCCAAGTGAGAAGATTAAAAGAAAAGTTAAGACTTAAGACGAAAAAAGAAAAGGAAGAGAAGTATAAAAAAAATCAATCAGAATTGAGTGTTGTTATGTACTTTGTTAACAATTATTGTAATAGTGTTAATTTTACAAAACAAACCAAGAGACAAAAGACTATTTGTGAGGTATACATTATATACTGGAAGGTAAAAAAAATGTGTTACATACCAAGAGTGCTTTGACTGTTATTAAAAAATAAATGTGTTACACATTCATGAATATTTTTGTTAATTGGTACCTTTTTTGCCATTTTCTTTAACAACCAATAACAATTGTGAGTGTCAAAATGTAAGGGAACTGAAATTTTAGTGTTTTGGGAATGATCTTTGGTATTGGCAAAAGACCATTTATATGGAAAACGCGTTTTAGTGCTGAAGAAAAATCCTTTTATGCTGACATAAGATTAAGTACTCGCACAAAGCAAATTTAGTGTTCACGGAAGGCCTTGTAATGCTGCTAAGGAAGGTTCTTTAGTGCTGTCTGATGGAAAATGCCCTTATCCCACGTGATCTGAGACTTGCTGCTATTGAAGAAAGTGATCTCGATGACTAATTTCTAACTACTGTATTATATTACCTTACACTCTTAGAAGTTGAAAATAAAATGCGTCAACTTTTAAAATACAATCAGAATCAGTCAATCCGATGACCGAAATCAATTATGATGTTTTCTATCGTTCTGATTGAATGTTCAAAATCTACATGACTAGTTGGATAAAGGTGATTTTGATGGCTACCTTGTGACCATCATATCATCCTATACTCTTACAAATTGGAAGCCAAAGATACAAACTTTCAAATACAATCAGAATTGGTCAATCATGTGGTCGAAGAATAAATTATTATGTTTTGACACACCAAAGCCTAGCTACACACTTGAGTTTATGTTGGTGAACGTCTTGATCACAAAAATCTCACATACAAAACATTGATGATGCTCATCGATATACCCTTATAGAGATCTAAGGTGACACAAAATCTCATACAATGCACGTCAGCAGAATGAATATTGTTCTTCAGAGCTAAGATCTTACATGTCCAAGCCAATGCTTTCGAGGACCAGGTTTTGAAGATTCAAGAAAGGAACATAAGCTTTTATGTTATAAGTCCAAGATATTTAAACCAGACAACAATAGTGGATTCATATATATAACAACAAGTTTAAAGGGTTGAAGTGATATTTTTATTTTTATTTTCTCTTATCACACTTGTTTTTCTTCTTCTATGTATTCAATTATGTATTGTTTACACCATAATGAGAAGTTTCTCCATTGTTATAAGCGTTAATGTATGGGCATAGACTTTATTAATTTTAATAACTAGATCATAACCCGTGCTATACAGCACGGGCATTAATATTTTATATGAATAAAATTGAATACTTTGTTTGAATTACATAAGTTAGAGTATAGTGTAAAAGTGATGCCATAATATGTTTCAATTTTATTACTATTTGAATATAATGCTGCATTAGATTGTCTTTGTTTAAAAACATCATATTTAGTTTATAGTGTAAATTTTGTATCCAAGTTGTATTATGTATTTTATTTGGAAAGAAAAATATTTTGTTTGTATGAGAGCATATAATTTTTGGCCCAACTTAGAAATAGTCTTTGTATTGTGTCTTGGTTTTATTTGTGGGCCTAATTGGGTCGAATGAAGATATATAGGCTCTAGATTATATTATGTCTGATTTAATTATCTAAAAACTTAATAAATAAAAAACTATACCTAAAACTCAATGGAATGCCGACAAAAAAAAATTGACTGGAAATTACATGACTTTCCTACGATTGCGGCTTCTTACAATCATCTAAATTTTTGTAAGAATCTGTGAAGAAGAATCTCTTCTTTCTCGATTGCAGCTCAAATCTTTCATTCCAAATCACTATACCTTGGTCGATTGCAGCTTCGTCTTTCATTCCATATCACCCAAATAATCCAAAACTCATCTGTATTTTGCTTCAGTCT